TTCAATATTTATTAAATACCTACTAGGCACTCACTGGGTACTGTACTAGAAGCTAAGGATATACTATGAACTTTCCCTGCCCCCAGCTCCCTTCAGACTATGACAGACTTTCTCAATTGGGGCTCCTCCTCCAGGTGTATAGGAAAGCAATTAATTACACATAATGTCTTCCCCTTGGGAAAGACTTGTCTAGGGAGCTACACAAGTTAAAAGGCAATTATAATGCAATAAGATATAAAGGTTGCTTTTAGGTAGGGTCAAGTTCAACTGTTAAACCTACAAGTGTTTGAACTACCTGGTAGGAGCCAAGATGTGGAAGCCTTGTAAATGCAAAAACATTGTGTAAATGCAAAAACATTTTAATATACATATGCAGCTTCACCTCCAATCGCAACAAAATAAAATCAACAATTTCCACATTCAGCAATGTCAGGTCAAGGTTATTAGGGAATTAAACAGGAAAAAATGTTTAATTACCCTGATAACTTAATGAAGAAATAAATTAAAAACTTTCCTGCTTCGGGAAGAAGAAAAGCAATTACCTGAATTATTTTGTTAATTACCTCCATATACTGTTTCATTAGAGTGGCCCTGAGTTGGACTGAAAGTAATAAATTAGCTACTTAATTCATTAATTCTTATTTTGCATTTTCAGTCTTATTTGTAATTTCCATTCTTCCTTATGCAGTTTAATTTCTTTCAAGTCTCTTTGGTAAGACATTTTCTATAAGATATTACTAAGCTACAACCTTTAGGAACCAAAGCAGTTTGAGAACTTCCAGAATCAGAAAGATAAATTTACTACAGTTTTTCACAGACACAATAAGCTTTCATTGTCAACCACCTAGAAATTCAATATGAACTAGCACCCTCTGACAAGTGAAAGTTACAATGTCCTCTGGGTCAAGGCCCCTAACTTACTAAGATGTGTTTCCTTTGAGTCTGGCACTGGTGGCTAGTGCTTGTAATCCTAGCTACTCAGAAAACCAACATATAAGTATCATGGTTCCAAGCCAGCCCAGGCTGAAGGACTAAAAGATGCTTATCTCCAAATAACTTCAACCCCCTTCCCAAAAAGCTAGAGACAGAGCTATGGGTCAAGTGGTAGAGAGAAAAAAATAAGGGACAATCGCCCAGGCCCTTATTTCAAGCCCCACTACTGAAACACACACAAAAATGTCTTATTTGAATCTTTAGCATGAAATGATTTCATAATCACTCAAAAGGGAAAAATTCTTAAGACTGTCAATAAATCTACAGGTTTTTAAGTTTTACATAGGATTAAAAAATTTCTATGCTCATTAGGAATTTTAGTTAGAATAAAAGGATAGCAAAGAAGTCTAGTTGAGACTCAAATCTCAACTAGTCTATGCTGTCAATATGCTTTTCAAGGAAATAAAAGAATTTTTTTTGTCAATCATGGGGCTTGAACTCTGGGCCTGGGCACTGTCCTCAGCTCTTCAGGTCAAGACTAGTGCTCTACCACTTTAGCCACAGTGCCACTTCCAGATTTCTGGTGGTTTATGGGAGATTAAGAGTTTCACAGACTTTCCTGTCAGGGCTGGCTTTGAACCACCATCCTCAGATCTCAGCCTCCTGAGTAGCTAGTATTACAGGAATGAGCCACTGGTGCCTGGTCAGACATAAATTTTATAGAGAAAGCTACAATTTATTGTATTTATGGAGATGTTGACTAAGAACAGACAGCACTCTTATGCCACTCATAGGCAGGCAACTTTTAAATCTTTGAAAACACTTCCCACATGCCTAAATCCTAAAATGCTGTACAGCAAATTCACCACACACACACACAGAGAGAGAGAGAGAGAGAGAGAGAGAGAGAGCTTGGGCATGTCAGACCATTAATCCTAGCTATTCAGGAGGCTGAGATGTGAGGATCAGATTTCAAAGCCAGCTCAGGCAGGAAAAGTCCTTGAGACTCTTATCTCCAATTAACCACCAAAAAACCAGAAGTGGAGCTGTGGCTCAAGTGGTAGAGTTAGCCTTGACCAAGAGAGCTCAGGGACAGTACCCAGGCCCTGAACACAAGCCCCAATATCACACACAAAAAAAAAAGCCAGGGCTGGGAAGAGGCCCTGGGTTCAATTCCTCAGCACCACATAAGTAAAAAGCAAAAAGCCGGAAGTGGCACTGTGGCTCAAGTGGTAGAGCGCTACTAGCCTTGAGCTGAAGAGCTGAGGGACAGTACCCAGGCCCAGAGTTCAGGCCCCATGACCGGACCCAAAAAAAAAAAAAAAAGCCACAGTAAGGCTTGCTTTTAATCCTCGAACTAGAAAGGCTGAGGCTAGAGGACAAAGAGTGCTGAGACCAGCCTTAGCAACAGGGCAATACTTTGTCTCAAAAAATTATTGTCAACAGCTAATTTATAATTTATCAGAAAGGGAAAACATGATTATCAAGAAGAAAGAAGCCAAGGCCATGTCTTTAAAACTTGAATTTCTTTACTATTTCTTTTAGCTTGAAACTAGTAAAACTAGAGAAATAAATGACATTTTAAAATGAGTCCACAAACACAAATGAGTTATAGAAGATTCTAAATTTCCATATCAGATTTGAAATATAAAATAAGCTCTCTTCTATTATGTAATCCTCTAGTTTTCAATGGCTGACAACTACAATTAACACTACTGTGATTTAATATTCAAAGCTAATTTCAAAACTGTGGAAGTCTGCTAAAAAACACAATTGAATTTAGAAGGAATTTATAGTCTTTAAGATATTAAAAGAATCAAAAGGACAGTACACATCGTGAACTACATATAGTTTGCAGGTCTCAAAGTCCCACCTAAATCTTTAATTTTAGCCTTTTAGTAATTTAATTGGGAATGCCCCTCAAGGAATCTGTGCCAGGTAAAAGACGAGAATAGGATGTGGTTTACTGATCTGAAGAATCTAAAATTTGCCCCTCCAAAATTTTATAGCCAAGTTTTAAGAAACAGAATTTGAATATATGTAATACATTCAGACCAAGGGGCTTGTTTGTTTTTTATTCTTGCCTTAAGACAAAAGCCAGATAAAACTCCTAAGAACCTTCCAGCTTACTGCACTAGTACAAATTGCTAGGACTTACCATACTCATGGTTGTGCAGGAAAATGTGGGCATCTGGGCATCTCAGGTGAAACAATGAGGTCAAATCTCCTTTCAGTATGAGGAAAAGTGATTCTCTGCGGATATCTGGGTTGAGGATGAAAAGAACTAGCCTCAAATCTGCAAGCTGGCACCTCAGCAACTGCTGCATATTCTACTGCATGCCCTAGCTTCATGGGCCAGCACTGCTTAATTACTAGGCTCTGATACAATGCAGATCACTTCAGAAAAAAAGCAAAGTGAAGGGGGCTTTTAGAGCAAAGCTTGGGTTCTTTGGTTCCAAATGTGTACATCCTTTCAAAAATGAGATTTCATTTCCTCAATGTTCAACTAGTGAATTTAATATGGCTCAGAGCCCATTTATTTTCCAACATCAAAGTGCTATGTATGGGAAAAGACAGTCCTTATCCTAAATATTAGAATTAGCTCTCCTGTCACCTTTCCCTTTTTGTCACCCTGAAACAACACTTCAAAATCACAAGAACCTATGTGAAACAGAACTATGAAGTAAAACGCTGTTTTACTGTCTCATGCTAGATGTAAGAAGCAAATTTTGGTCACTCGCTGCAGCAAACTATTGCTATGTGCCACCAGCAATTATCTGTCCCCAACTTCATGCATGTTTCAGAGTGAAGTAAACATTTGGGGGGGGAACAAACAGTAGGACTGTGATGATGATATCATAAAAGAGGGATGTACAAATATGACTTTTACTTAGGGTACAGAAATGTAATGGAAAAATGAGAGCAAACCCATATAACCTATGAAAACTGTACGTGCATTGTTTTGATTAGGAAAAACTGCATTAAGAGAACTAAACAGTTCTCAAGTGTTGAGTGAAAGGAGAAGCGCTCAGTCTTCGACGTTTTTTCTTAAGTACAAAAAAAACAAAAAATCAAAATGTGTAGAGGAACTCGTTCTGTTACCCCGCTGGCAGAATAAAACCCTATTCCCGCCACCTCCTGTGGAAATTAAGGAAGTTGCTACAAATAGCAGCATGGAAGTAAACCGCTCCGAGTTTGCTTCATTCTTAATGAGCCCTCTAGGAGTAAACAGGTCACTGGAAAAAAAAAAAAAGTCAGTAGATCGAAATCGCTTTCCCCCATGGCCAAAGGCGGACTCAGGGTGGGGAAGAGACACGACCGGAGCAGCCCCGCCGCAGTCTGCATTTTCTCACGGGGTGGATGTTGGGGAGTTTGGTCCTCCACGAGCGAGGGCGCCGGCAGGCAGGCAGCGCCATGCGCAGCCTCCGGGCGTCCCGGCCTCCCCCAGCCCGCGCAGCCCGTAGCCCTGGCTTCTACAGCTCCGTAAGGGTGCGCTTCCTAGGTTGGTTCCCCAAAGTTTGTCCGGCCTCGGATCACCAGCTGCCTGTCTCCCCGGCCTCCCCCCTCTCCCCCCCCCACACACATTCCCGGCCCAGGCTGAGCCCAGCGTCAATCTGCCGTTCCCCGGGCTCCAGGCTCCTCTTTTTGGGCCACGGTGACAGGTCTGGGTTTACCTCCATGTGCTCGTGGCAGGGGGAAACAAAAGAAAGCTTCCTCGGAGATCATCAAACGCCATCTTCGAGTAATTAGTACATGGAGGGGTCCCCTGGGTGATCCCCCCCATCACCCCTCCACGAGCCTCTCCCACCCCAATCACCAGGCAGAGTTCTTAGCGGCCCGCGAAAGCCCAGATAAAATTGTCCTGGGGTGGGGAGGGTGGGGGGCCGGAGCCTTCGTCTGGCCCGGCCCCCCGGCCACTCGTCCGGGTGGTCGTGTACTGGGGAAATAGTCCGGGGGAGAGGATGGCATCGCTCAGTCCCCTCCCCCCACCTGGGAAACGGGCTGTCAGGGACCCCGCGGAGGGGCTGGCGCGGCCGCACGCGGGGAAGCACAGGGACTGTACTTACAAAACGGTTCAGGCTCCGGCGAAACATCGCGTCGAAGGCGGCCACGAGCTCCGCTGGCGTCTACCGGGTTGTCTGGGAAGGCGCCGTCCACAAAACACACTGCGGCGTGGGCCGGCGGCGCAAAGCGGGCAGCTAGGAGGGCTGCCCCGCCAGCAGCCGGCCGCCTGCCCTCCTCGCGGCTCCGGGCTCCCCGCCC